CTGCCTTAGGTACTACACTACCAGAGCTCCCCACTGGCAGGTCTACTCTGTCTATAGGGTCACTCTGAGTCTGAATCAACTTGATGCCAGTGGGTTTTCGTATACACTACCTGTAAACCTATTACGTTCAAAGGCACTGATCTTTTAACTTAGGTCAAGGCCTGTAAGATCAATGCTGACTTTGAGTTGCTAAGAAATACTGTCTTTCATAAAGCAAGTAATTTTTCTTGATTTTATTGATACTGGCTAGAGTACATATTCTAGTAAGATATTTAACATGAACAATAAATTAGACAATGAGTAAGTAGAAAATGTTACACAAATATTTGTCACTATTATTTTCATAACTACATAATAGTTTTAAAGCCACAAATAAATAAATAGGACAAATACATTTGGAAGCAAGAAAAAAAAAGCAGCTTAATAGAAAGAATAATATTTAATGTTCAAAGAAATTGATAAATTATTTCTTTACCTGAATCACTTGCTGCAACAACAATTGTCCCACCAGGAGCAAAAGGATCATTGTCCTTCAATGTTTCTACCTAAACAAATTACACAAAAACATGATTGAGAAAGATAACCTCTCATAGTTGAAACCACACTGCCACTCCAAAGAAAATATTCTTACAAACTATAAATTAATTAAAGAATACAAGTATTAGGAATACATTTCCCCTATTGATTTAGAAAGGTTACATACTATTTTTTCATCTTCTCTTACTGTGAAATATACATTCAGAAAACTACATGAAACACATATACAGTTTAATAAATAAGTAGCAAGCAAACACTCACGTATTCACTTGCCAGAAAACTGCCAACACCTCCAAAATTTTCACGCTGTCTTTCCCAATCATAATCCTATCCCACTTTTGGAGCATTAACTATTCTCCTGACGTCTGTAGTATTTACTTCTATTTCTTTCCTCATCATGTTGTTACCTGTATCGATGCACACTATTGTAACTTTTTATTCTGAAGTAATTTTATATTTACAGAAGAAGTGAAAAGATAATATGAGACTTCCCATACACCCTTCACCCAGCTTTCTCTAATGTTATATCTAACACTATCATGACACATGTATCAAAACTAAGGAATTAACACTGGTCCAAAACTACTAACTATAGACTTTATTTGGAGTGCCCTAGTGTAGTGTCTAAGGCACTTGACTGCTAACCAGAAGGCTGGTGGTTCAAACCCACCAGCCACTCCTCAGAAGGAAGATGGGGCAATCTACTTCTGTAGTGATACTGCCTCGGAAACCCAAGGAGGGGCCACTATGAGTCGGGACCGACTCGACAGCACATAACAACAACAACAACAACAAAGTTTTTGGAGATTGTCCTTTATTTAAATTCTAGGATGTTGCTGTTTGTTATTAGGTGCCACTGAGTCATCTCCAACCAACAGTGACCTTAGGTACAACAGAATGAAACACAGCCTGCGGTCCTGTGCCAGTCTCACAATTCCTACTGTGTCAATTTATTTTGCTGAGGGCCTTCCCCTTTTTTGTTGACCTTCCACTTTACCAAGCATGATTATTCTTCTCCAGGAAATGGTCCCTTCTGACAACATGACCAGCATAGGTGAGACAAAGTCTGGCTATTCTTGCTTCCAAGGAGCTCTCTGGATGCTCTTTTCCAGGACAGATTTGTTAGTTCTTTCAGCAGTCCATGGAACTTTCAGTATTCTTTGCCAGCATCACAACTCAAAAGCATCAACTCTTATTCCTTTTTTGTTGTCCAGCTCTCACATGCCTATGAGGCACATGAAAATACCATGGCTTGGGTTAGGCGCATCTTAGTCTTCAAGGAGATATCTTTGCTCTTCAGCACTTGAAAGAGGTCTTTTGCAACAGATTTGCCCAATGCAATATGTCTTTTGATGTTCTGACTGCTGCTTCTACTGGTGCCAACTATAGAACCAAGTAATAGGAAGTCCTTGACAACTTCAATCTTTTCTCCATTCATCGTGATGTTGCTTATTGGTCCAGTAGTAAGGGTTTTTGTTTTCTTTATGGGGAGCTCTGGTGGTGTAGTGCCTAAGGCATTTGACTGCCAGACTGGCGGTTCAAACCCACCAGCCACTCCTTGGAATGAAGATTGGGTAATCTACTTCCATAGTGATACTGCCCCAGAAATCCCAGGAGGGGTTGCTATGAATCAGATCTGCCTCGACAGTAGTGAGGGCTTTTTTTTTTTTTAAATGTTGAGGTATAATCCATACTGCAGACTGTAGTCTTTAATCTTCATCAGCAAGTGCTCCAAGTCATCCTCACTTTCAGCAAGCCAAGTTGTGTCATCTGCGTAACTCAGGTTGTCAATGAGCCTTACTCCAATCCTGATGCCACGTTCTTCTTCATATAGTTCAGTTTCTTGGAATATTTGCTCAGCATACAGACTGGATAAATATGGTCAAAGGATACAACCCTGACATACTCCCTTCCTGATTTTAAACCATACAGTATTTAAACTTGTTCAGTTCCAATGACAGCCTCCTGGTCTATGTACAGGTTCCTCATGAGTACAACAATCAAGTGTTCTGGAATTCCCATTCTTCTCAATGTTATCCACAATCTGTTATGATTCACACAATCAAATGCCTTTGCACAGCTAATAAAACACAAGTAAACATCTTTCTGGTATTCTCTCCTTTCAGCCAAGATCCATCTGACATTAGCTATGATATCCCTCGCTCTGCATCCCTTTCTGAATCCAGCTTGCATTTCTGGAAGTTCTCTGTCAATACACTGCTGCAACCATTTCTGAATTATCTTCAGTAAGATTTTACTTGCATGTCATATCAATGACATTGTCAGATACCATGCTGCATTTAGGATGCACACTATTCTAACTCTTAAATATTCTAATACTTAATACCAAAAGATGCTGAATTTCCATTTTCAAACTGTTGCATAAAAAGAATTTTAGCATTTGTCCCTTAGTAGGGAAAAACTGACAGAAGAGATAGCTTCCTGCTAAGAAGATCCTGCTGCTTTCAATAATAAACCAAGCAAATCTGGGATCAACAGACAATAGTGACAAGATACAAGGGTGAGGACTTAATGGAAGATGGAAGCCAGAGATTCCTGATGTTAAACTATTTTCCTACTTTATAGTTTTTAATCATAGTAAAACGAACTGTATATTGTGTTGCTGTTAGGTACCAGTGATTCAGTTCTGACTCATAGCGACCCTGTGTACAACAGAACAAAACAATGCCGAGTCCTGTGCCATCCTCACAATCCTTGTATGCATGAGCCCACAGTCGCAGCCACTGTGTCAATCCATCTCACTGAGGGTCTTTCCCTTTTTCACTGACCCTCTACTTTACCAAGTCTATCCTTCTCCAGGGAATAATCTCTTCTGATAACATGACCAAAGTAGGTGAGATGAAGTCTGACCATTCTTGTTTCTAAGACGCATTCTGCCTGCTTCTTCCAGGACAGATTTGTTCATTTTTCTGGCAGTGTTTTCAGTATTCATCATCACAAACACTACAATTCAAAGGCATCAACTCTTCTTCACTCTTCCTTATTCATTGTCCAGCTTTCACATTGCATATGAAAATAAACAAAACAAAAAAAACCCCAAACTCACTGCTGTCAAGTCAATTGTGACTCATAGCGACCTCTCCTTGGGTTTCCAAGGGAGTATCTCTACTGAAGTAGATTGCCCAAACTTCCTTCCGAGGAGTGGTTGGTGGGTTTGAACCACCAGCCTTCTGGTTAGCAGTCAAATGCCTTAGGCACTATGTCACGTATGAGGCAACTAAAATACCATGGCTTGGGTTAGGCGCACGTTGGTCTTCAAAATGACATTTTTGCTCTTTAATACTTTAAAGAACTCTTTTGCAGCAGACTTGCCCAGTGCAATATGATGTCTGATTTCTTGACTGCTGTTTTCATGGGTATTGACTTTGGATCCAAGTAAAATGAAATCCCTGACAATTTCAATCTTTTCTCCATTTATTGTGATGTTGCTTGCTGGTCCCAGTTGGGAGGATTTTTGTTTTATGTTGAGGTGTAATCCATACTGAAGACTGTAGTCTCTGATCTTCATGAGTAAATGCTTCAACTCATCTACACTTTCAGCAAGCAAGAGTGTGTCATCTAAATATTGTAAGTTGTTAATGAGTCTTCCTCCAATCCTGATGCTGTGGTCTTCTTCATATAGTCCAACTTCTCAGAGTATTTGTTCAACATACAGACTGAATGAGTATGGTGAAAAGATACAACCCTGATGCACACACTTCCTGATTTTAAGCCATGCAGGATCCTCTTGTTTTGTTCGAACAGCTGCCTCTTGGTCTATGTACAGGTTCCTCATGCACACAATTAGGTGTTCTGGAATCCCCTTTCTTTACAACGTTATCCATTATTTGCTATAATCCACAATTGAATGCCTTTACATAGTCAATAAAACACAGGTCAACATCTTTCTGGTTTTCTTTGCTTTCAGCCAAGATCTATTTGACATCACCAATGTATCTCTTGTTCCATGTCAATATACTACTGCAACCATTTTTTAATTATCTTCAGCAAAATTTTACTTGTGTGCGATATTACTGATATTGTTCAATATTCTCCACATTCTGCTCGATCACCTTTCTTTGGAATGGGCACAAATGTTGATCTCTTCCAGCTGATTGGTCAGGCAGCTGTCTTCCAAATTTCTTTGCATAAATGAGTAAGCACATCCTGTGCTGCATCAGTTTGTTGAAACATCTCAGTGGGTATTCTGTCAATTCCTGGAGCCTTGTTTTTTACCAGTTCCTTCAGTGCAGCTCGGACTTGGTTCTTGATCATATGCTACCTCCTGAAATGGCTGAGCATTAACCTTTTTTGATATAGTGATTCTGTTTATTTCTTCCATCTTCTTTTGATGCTTCCTGCATGGCTCAATATTTTGCCCATAGAATTATTCAACACTGCAATTCGAGGCTTGAATTTCTTCTTCAGTTTGTTCAGCTTTAGAAATGCTAAGCATGTTCTTCCCTTTTGGTTTTCTAACTCCAGGTCTTTGCAACATACAAATTGAGTATTTAGGAAGATATATGAATTTTCACTTTCTGGCAACAGGCTTTTTTATTTTTTTTGAACTGTCAATAGCTATTTTTATAACTTTTTACTGTGATTTGTGTGAAGATTTATAGAGCAAGTCAGTTTTCCATTCAACAATTCATACATATTTTGTTTCATGTCATTAATTGCAATCCCCACAACACAGTATCACTCATTCCACTTCCTTCCTTTGTTTCCCACTTCTATTCCTCCTTCTTTCCCAACACTTCCTGCGTTTGTAGCTTTATCCCTGGGCAAACGCTGTCCTTTTGATTGCCTTTTGTCAACTGTTCTAAGGAATGTGTACTTCCCTGGCGTTACTGTTCCTCTTAAAGGTCTGTTGTTTGGCTGAAAGTTTAGCCATAAGGGTGAGCTTAGTTCCAGGCTTGAAGGGTAACCAAGGGCCACGGTCTCATGGGGTTCTACCAATGAGCTTGATTTTTTTTTTTTAATGATTTCAAGTTTTGTTCCACATTTT